TTGCCTGGGTAACTTATTAACACTAAGTTAGTTGGCTCCATCTTCAACATGATCAACCATCATCTTCAGGATTGGTCACCATTACACCCTCTTTCCCGCTTGATGCCAATATCCTTCAGTTGATCCATCGATTCATCATTATTCCTAAATGATATGCATAAATGCAATGCAATGCTTAAATCAAACAAGCATACACATAGGCATTACAAACTTAAAAGACAAGCAACATGTCATCACGGTGAGGAAGGGTACTAATCGTTCTTAGGTTCAACTCTCATCTTCCTGCGGTGACTCTCTTGCGAGACGATTATTGCATTTAAACACACAAGTGCAAGCTTATCATAACATGCCGAGCACACTTGTGCTTACTAAACACACTTTGCATAGTCATCATGTAAAAACAAGTAGCATAGACAAACGTATATTAACCGTAATCTAAACACCTAACATATATAAAAGCTTAAATAATTATAACTAAGGAATAAAAAGGTGGCGCACCAAACATCTCTTTTGGACATGAAAAATCTACGGGTGATACATCTTAACTAAACATAACTACTGCATAAATTTCATAATTTCTAGATGGGTATATTATTTACTAGCATTTAATTAAGACTTAATGGTAATAAAAGCATGTGGCACAAGATAATTTAATAGCTCAGTAAATATGCATGCACTGGACCTGAAATTTTTATCAAAGCACACACACATCGAGAGCAACTTACTATAAAAATTTCACAGCAAAAGGATCAACATAACAACAGATATGAATCTATCCCTAACAAGCATAGGCAAAAATTTAGAGCAATATTTTTCTACTAAAACATACAAGGTTATACATCTACTGCATAGATTTAGTCACAAGAATTCCAAAACATCTTCATTTTGCTTTTTATGATTTTTCTATGATTTACTATGAATTTTTCAAGTTTTACCCTATTTACACATAAAAGGAAAAGAGAAAACCACAAAAGACAAATACTTTGCACCGAGGCCCCCTGAGATTCTCCTGAATCAACCCATAGTACAAGAACACTATTCGACATGGCTCATATGAGCCACGGATTTACATTGGGGACACTAGAAAAGTTTTTATTCATGCGCGAGGTCCTCCTCCTCACCTTGAAGCCGAATAGAGAGGCAGGGGAGCGTCGGGGCGCGACCGAGTTCGCGTGGTGGGCCACTGGTGAGGGTGAGGGCGGTGGGTGGGGGAAGTAGCGGCCATGCCCGCATGCATGGGCGGAAGCAGCTTGGCCAGGAGCAGCCGGTGGTGGCCCGACCACACACGTGGCGGCCGCGACGGGCGGCTACATGGCAGCAACGGTACACCAGCATGGCAACGGAGCTGCGGGGTGTGGCAGCGCATTCGGACCGAACGACGAGGTGCGCAGGCCCTGCGCAGACCAGGGGCTGGCCTCAGCTCAACCCGAAGTGGCCCGATAGGGCCTCGGCCACGAGCGCCGGTCAAGGCGAGCGGGAACATCTACGGTGAATCTGGCTCGGATTCGAGTCGCGAGCACAGGCGCGCGGGGTGGAGGAGGTGGAGGCGAAGCTGGAGGTTTCGGTTTGGCGCGAGGGGGCTTGGAGGGCGGGGAAACGAAGGCGACGGTGAGCTCTGCTTGCGTCCATGGCATAGTGGCCTCTGCGTGCGCGAGAGTGCGAGCAGAGAGGGCGGGAGAGCTCGGCGTCCACTTATGCGGGCGGCAAGGGCGGAGAGTAGCGCGCGCGGTAGGGCAGCATGGGCGGACTGGGCACACCTAGGCGCGTTGTGGGCAGGGACGGATGACGCCGTGGGCATGCCAGCAGGGCATGGGCACGGCCAAGGCATGGCGGTGGCCAGTGGCCAGGTGCCCTTCTTGGGCCCCACAAAACGGTAGATTCCAAAACGATTCGGACTCCACTGCAGTGACAAAAAGTCTTCACCACTGTTCACTCTCGATCTTTTGTTAGGGGACCAAGGTCATTAGGCCAATGTATTATCATATAATTAGGGCCAAAGTTAGCAGTGTCAGCAAAAACACTAACAAACTTAGGGGGTGTTTGATCCAGTGACTAAAATTTAGGAGGTGCGATGTGAGGGTGTCGCATGGGGTGTTCGAATACTAATAAAAACACAAATTACAGAATCCGTCAGTACTCCACGAGACGAATTTATTAAGGAGGTGTTTGGTTTCTCCTCCTAAACTTTAGTCACTGTCCCATTGGATGTTTGGATACATGCATGAAGTATTAAATATAGACTAATTACGAAACTAATTACACAGCTTGCGACTAATTTGCGAGACGAATCTTTTAAGCCTAATTAGTCCATGATTTGACAATGTAGTGCTACAGTAAACATGTGCTAATGACGGATTAATTAGGCTTAATAAATTCGTCTCGTGGAGTACTGACAGATTCTGTAATTTGTTTTTTTTATTAGTATCCGAACACCCCATGCGATACCCTCATATGACACCTCCTAAATTTTAGTCACCGGATCCAAACACCCCATAAGCCTAATTAATCCGTCATTAGCACATGTTTACTATAGTACTATATTGTCAAATCATGGACTAATTAGGCTTAAAAGATTCGTCTCATAAATTAGTCGCAAGCTGTGTAATTAGTTTTGTAATTAGTTTATATTTAATACTCCATGCGTCCAAACATCCGATGGGACAGCGACTAAAGTTTAGGAGGAGAAACCAAACACTCCTTAATCTCCCAGGAAACGATATTTTATTCAAACTTTGAAGCACTCATTAATCTACGAAACAATCAAACTAGGCATGAACAATCTCTCTACCATAGAGTACAAAACATAAACTAAGTTTTTCATACCAACATATTTTACGGTTTCTATATAAAATAATTATTTATTTATCCTCTAAAACGCTATTGAGCAATTAAAACAAGATAAGGTTTTTGTCATTTTAAATAATTTTCTCCACATTTTTTCAACATGAACCCTAAATAACTTTTATTTACAAACTCATTTAGAGATGTTTAATCACAACAGCAAAGTTGATTGACATCACCCATATTGATTTTATTCACGAAAGTGATTCCACAAATATGTACTTATCATTTCATGCAAGAGTTCATCACCAAACCTAGGTAAACCTATTTATCAGGTTTTATTAAGCTTTAAACTATTATTAAACGGGTATGTAACACCGGGGTGTTATATCCACCCAAGAAATTGAGAAGCAAGCAGCTAAGCGCGTATGTGGTGGCGCCACCAAATGAAAATATATACACCGAATTAAAGAAACGCTCGGTCTATTTATAACCGGTGGTCTTCTATGGGCTAGAATGTTAGAAGTACGTGTTTAGCACTTACAACTAAGATGGCATTTGGTTTCCTGGCCGGTAACGCAAACAGAAACGGAAACAAATGACAGCGGGGGGGGTGGATTCCTTGATTTGTTTGGGTCGTGCATGGTAATGTTAATGAATACCGGAGTGGCAAGTTGAGCGGGGGAGTCGGATACTGGGATGCGGCGTAATGAAATGAGGGTCCGGCAAGGGGCGGTATCACCGATCAACAGAGTGTTATCTGATTGCACGGTATTTAATAACGGGCCGCACCGAACTAAGCGGTCGTATCGTCATTTGGTCCCGTAAGTAATCGATTTGCGTTACATTTTGCGTAACCAAACGCGTTGTAATTAAAACTATTTATCCTTTTGCATATTCTTTATTAGTTACCTATGCATCTATGTCCGGTTCTGATGAATTTATTAGTTACTTTATACATTTTCATCATCTATGGTCATATTTGAATCCCATGGTCTAAAATTTAGCCACTAAACTTTAGACCATTTTATTTCTTGAGGCTCTAAACAAGCAGTTATGATGCTAGGATTTTCAGCAAGTATTCTCACCTCAAAAAAAAAAGTCTAATCCAAGGTTCAAAATATAGTTCATAGGAAACTTATAAAATACTTAAACAGAGCTACGATTTTTTTGCTTTTAACCTTGTGATCCTTTATGGCTTGGAAGCGGTTGATGATGTCACTCAGTATTCCCGCTTAATAAACTTGACCAAGCTGTATTTTAAAGAAAACGGAGCATAGGTGGCCAGCGGTGCAAGTGCACATGAAGCCAATGCGAGTTCGATTCTCAGGAATCGCACTCGTGTCTCTCACCAGGGTTTGTCCCCAAATAATTTCATGTAGCCTTATCACACGTGGAGCCATAAACGGAATGTGACGCGCTCATCGCCTATAGTGTCATAGATGGTCCCGGTGATCTCTAAGGGCGTGGTCTTCAGATTTAGATGTAGTTGTAGGTTTGTTTGCGTGCAAGTGGTGTGTATCTAGATGAGAGGCATAAAAAAAGTTGTATTTGAAGACCGTAAATAAGAAATTAACTCAATCAGTAAATCAAATATCAACTTGGTCTAGCGAACCATTGAATCATCACCTCACTGAATCCTCAGCCTCAACTGAATCAGTGAATCACCGAATCAAATCTACGTTTTGACATGTGCATAATAAATTTGCAATAGCAGTAGAAGATACCAAGCAGGATGTCTGGGCCGTGGCCCTTCCAGCCACGTACGGCCCAGCCACCTGCCACAAGCCCACAACAGAGAAATCTCAAATCGAAACCCAGGACCCATGACCCATGACCCATGACCCGAGGAGTCCATTGCGTGTTCCAATTCCGGTGGCGTAGCATAGAACATACAGGTTATATGCTGTTTACGATTAAAATAAGTTGCATAACGTTTTTTAATAATTTATTCTGACCATGTTTATTCTCATAATTTTCATTTATACTTCAAAAACATAAGTTAAATCAAACCAATTTAACCGTCGTTTTTACTCCATTTCTACAGCTGGCAAGCGCTTAACAAGACCGTAGCAATCCCCGGTGGCGTAACCGCAGGGCTCGCAAGCAAACTCATCTGACTTCTCTCCGCTTTCCCCTTCGTCTCCGTCGAGAGGAAGGAAGCCAGAGCTGGTCCGGGCGCCACGCCGCGCCGCGAGCGGAAGGAGAAGGAGGCGACGATGCAGGTGAAGCAGAAGGTCTACGAGCTCTATAAGGGCACGGTGGAGCGGGTCACGGCCCCGCGCACCGTCTCCGCGTTCCTCGAGAAGGGCGTCCTCTCCGTCCCCGAGTTCATCCTCGCCGGCGACAACCTCGTTGCCAAGTGCCCCACCTGGTCCTGGTGTGTTCTCCGCTCCTCTCCCCTCGCTCTGCCTCCCTCTAACTGATTTGGGTGGTTGCCGATTGGTTGGTTGACTGATTGATCTGGTGTGTGTCGTGCGCTCGCAGGGAAGCGGGCGATCCAAGCAAGAGGAAGCCGTATCTCCCCGCCGATAAGCAGTTCCTCGTCACCCGTAATGGTATGCTGTTACTGAACTGAGTCAAGTATCGGCTCCTATCTATTTTCCTGTCTGCGCAAGTTGAGTATTGCGAATGCTGCATTATTGGTAGTTAGAATTGGACAGCTGTTAGGTTTCTGAATTGGACAACTGTTAGGTTTCTTTTCCCAAACCTGATGTAGTGGATGAGATCAAACATGCTAGTTTAGCAAAAATCCTGGAGTAGTTGAAGCATAAACACTGGCAATTAGAGAAAATTAGAGGGAATTCATCATGCCTTCGGACTACTGAATTCACTGCTTTACTGTTTAAAGCTTGTAGCTTTCGAATATCTCAATCATTGGAAATTCGTGAATTCTTTCTATTACTCCCAGTGCCCTGTTTAAGACGTGCCATCTCGGTTGAGGAGGAGTATGATGCAGCAGGAGCCGAGGTGGTTCTCGATGACGATGAGGATGGTGAAGGCTGGCTTGCAACACATGGGGTGCAAGGTTAATATCCTTATAAGTGCTGCTTGGTTTTCCACTCACTGAAATATATGATCTTAACTGTATTTTTGGGTCCATTGATCATGTTAGCATCAAAACCAGAAGAAGAAGAAGACATTCCCTCTATGGATACATTGGATATAGGGAGATCTGATGGAATAAAGTCTATCCCCTCTTACTTTAGCGGTGGTAAGGAGGAAGAGGAAGAGGAAGATATACCTGACATGGACACTTATGAAGACACAGGGAATAATTTGGTAGGAAAGATCACAATTCTCTATCTTAAATAGGGCTAAGCAAAGCTGACAAAGTTACTGATACCAGCTTTGCCTTTCTGTTCTAATTGCAGGCTGCTGCTGAGCCATCATACTTTGTCGCAGAAGAACCGGAAGATGACAACATCCTTCATACCAGAACATATGATGTTAGCATAACGTAAGATCTTTTATTGCCTACAGGATAGGGTCAATTCTCCTTTTCAGGGTTGGGTCCAACCGTTCACTAGTTTTCTGATTGGTGTATCGTGGCAGACATCTTGCCTAATGTTCTGTTCTGTACCAGTCATGAATAGCTGTGTCTCTTGACGCCTATATATATTATACAAACTGCATGCTTATTGCATGATTAGTTGATTGGCAAGCATGACGCTCATCTGATTTGCAACCAAAAGTTTCTAAGTTCTAACTAGTTAGTTGCTGCTTCCTTAAAGTGCAGTTGTTATTTCTAAGATAAGATTAGCTAATTAATACGTTGTGTGAAAAGCAGTTCTTCTTGTGAACCACACTTGAATTAGAAAACATGTAATTAATAATCCTATTGCAGGTATGACAAATACTACCAAACCCCACGCGTCTGGCTGACTGGATATGATGAGGTAATTTTGAACATAACAAGTGCTTCTTGCATATAGTTACTGTGGTCTTGTTGCAGCCTGACTTGATTTTTTTTTTTTTTTTTTTGCCATTGTAGTCAAGAATGCCACTAAAGCCTGAACTTGTGTTTGAAGATATCAGCCAAGACCACGCGCGAAAAACGGTAATTTCATTTTGTTTCCATTTATTCTTTTGATTCTCTGATATACCCAACGGAATGCACGGATAGGACAAATTTTACCATATATTGAGTCAACATGCTTAAAATTGGTAGAATTAAACCTTACGACATATGTTTCGTGTTGAGAGTTGAGCTATATATATTGATCAGAAAGAGGGAACAATTTGGTGTCACGGGTTACAGGATATACAACTGTATATTTTTTTTGGAACTAAATGTAGTTCATCTTTTCATTTTGCAATGTGTCATTAAAATTTATATCCGCGGGAGGATTCACATTCACAGAACACCTCTATCCCTGCCTGCTAATGGCCCAGTGACACGTGTTGACGCCTTGACGGTGGCCTGCGTTTCCCGTTCTCTTCTCTTGCATGGACTAGCTGCATGCCGTTGGCGATATCTCGACGTGGTTTTGCACGTTCTGGTTGGCTGGCCTATTATGCCAAGCACTTCACCACCGTACATGTCGGCCTTCTGCTTGCTGCATGCGTACGATCTATGCGCTGTGAAATGTAATACAGGCGTTGTTCCTGGCCACAACAAATCGTCTCTGCTTGACTTGCGATCTACAGCAGCATGAATGCAAACCACCACTTCATCCTTGTGCACAATAGTCAAGATGTGTGTAGGAGCACTTGCACAGCAGGCGCAGCGAAGCGCGCCAACCTGCCTTGTAATGGTTAGACAGTGGTGGAATCCGCCACATTATAGCCATCCTGGTTTCTGCATCCTCCCTTTCTTGCCAAGAAAATTTGAAGGGGGCACTGCAGGACTATGTGCATGCATACATATATGGATGAACATGTGTTGCCTTTTTGTTTCCTCACTGATAAGGGCGCTCACCACATGGCTCTGTATGGAGTCCAGTCCATTACTACTAGCCCATTCTAGGATTGTGATGAAGGTTTGTTGCCAGGAGCAAACTCCAGTGCCAAATGACCGAATCATGTCATGCTGCAGTAAAATCCTGTGACATGAGCTGTCACGTAATAATCTAGGTTCCTGCCAAATGTGCCAATCTCTTCTCCCTTCTTTAAAAAACTACATAAGTAGTTCGTTCGCCTTGCTTGAAGCGGTAATGCAGATATCCATGCAGTCGCTGTGCTCGGGCACCGCCATAACTGCGATATCTTGTGCGCACGGGCTCACAGCTCATGAATCATTGAAGGCCCTTCCTCTGTTTGCCCTTTTTTCTTTTCAAGCCGTTTACATTAGCGATTGTGAGTTGGAACTTAATTTAGCTAATAGAAGCAGTGAAACACTTACCGCTTTCACGTCACGCCCTGCTGCTGGTGCCAGGAGAGGACCTTAGAAGATAGGTTCTTCCATGATAGCACCATATAGTTGCTTCATGCATTTGAAGGCTTTATTTATAGACTATCTATGTCATGTCATTAAAGATGATTATTTAGTGTCAGAAGCAGGTCCCATTTTTCTCTTACACCAGCGAAACAATGAAGTTTTCTTCTACAATGGCCAATGGTGCTAAGATACTACACTGTATTGCACAGGTGACTATTGAGGACCATCCTCACTTATTGGCTGGAAAGCATGCTTCAGTGCACCCATGCAAACATTCAGCTGTGATGAAAAAGATTATCGACGTTCCAATGTCGGGGGGAGTGGAACCAGAAGTTGACAAGTAATGTTCTTTATTTACGCATCACCCTTATTTTTGACCAGTTTCTAACTTGTGGCTCCTCTTGTGAATAGGTACCTTTTCATATTTCTGAAATTCATAGCGACAGTCATACCAACTATCGAGTATGATTACACAATGGACGTCGACCTCGGCAGCACGAGCTGATTCTTGGTTAGCTGAAGCCTGAAGGTAAAGCATGAAGCTCTTATCATCTGACAGTTTACTTCTCACGTCGTACATATAACAGCAAAACGTGCTCAGACTTGTCAAAGAGCCCAAGTCATTCTACAGTCTACAGACCTTAACACTTTTGCTAAAATTTGTACAATTTTCCACCCTGTTTGTGCGCTGGCGTTCATAGCAGTTGCTTGTTTGCTTTGTCATTTTTCTTAGGGAAACGAAGCACCCTACAGAAGGCACAGGAATGCTGAATTGCCTGTTTGTGGTTGCGTATTTGTGCATCTGTGTTCGTTCCTTGGATTGGTTTGCATTTGTTAACAAACTCTGAAAGCTCAAAGGCAAGACCCACCTTGTACATTCTAACGCTGTCAGCTTGTGTGTCCATTCATATAGACCCATAATCTGTTCGGCGTTCGTGGGAACATAGCCTTGCAAGTGCAATGCATCCGATCAGGGGGAAATTATTTGGGTGTATTGCATCACTTAGTACTCGAATAATACAGTACGTAGATAAAAGCAGAAGAATTTTTTTTTGAAGTCGCAAGATGAGCATCGACGGATGTGCCGTCGTCGTCCGCCCGACACGAGATCACGTACCGTGACGCCACCCCGATGGAGTCCGAGCGCAGCAAAAGATACCGAAAAGGATCCCGACGGTCGTCCATCTCGGCGCGCTTTGTTCGTGATGCAACTAGCGCGACAGTGCGTTCACGTGCCCATGCCGATGCCGATCCGCGCGCGCCGTTGGATCGATCGTTTCGTCCGCTGCCCAGGCGAGCTCAGCTCTGGACTCTGGATTGTGGAGCGCGTGGTTCGCGGGGAGCGAGGCGTCGCTCTTGGCCGCGGTGTTTGGGCCGTACGACGCCGCAAGCGCGCACCCGCGTGCCGCCCCGGTCGCCGCTCGTTAGTTGCCGATCCCAGCCGGCCGGCCGCGTGCGGTGAACGAGAGCGATGGGAAAACGTTTGATTAGCTCGTGGCTGGCGGTAGAACTCCAAACATGTGCCGAGTCAATACCTAGGTACTGTAGGGTCGATAAGCGAGTGAACGAGGAGCGTACAGGTCGGCGCACCTGTGTCCAAAGGGGTTGGTTGTTCGGATTTGATCGGTCGATGGATCCAGCTAGTGGCTGTGGTAACCTTGTCCCGTTTTCTTGGGGCAACGGTAACTCGTGTGGAGTGTGTTCAGTACTGCAGCTGGATGCTAACAACTACTCCATCCGTCCAGTATACATGTCGTTTTAGAGTTATAGCAGAGACTAAGGATGATGGTAAAAGACCTCAGTAGCCCTACAAGCAATCACGAAACTATTGTTTATTGAGATGACATGCTCATTAATAAGCTCCTTGGTACTCCTTCCCACTCACAAGTATTTTTGCATAAACAAATGATCGAGTACACAACTTTTCACATTTCACGTGTACTACCCACTCAGAACTGAACTTTTCATGGACAGCATAAGATTAAGACCGGATAACGAGCTGGCTCGGCTCGGCTTGTTCTGGCTCGTTAAGATAACGAGCTAGCTCGGCTCGGCTCGTTATCCTATCAAGCCAGAAAGCCAGCTCGGCTCGGCTCGGCTCGTTAAAAGCTCGAGCTGGCTCGTTAAGCTCGCGAGCCAGGTATAAAAAATACATAAAATATAATATTTGCATTTATCTAAAATTTGAGAATAATAATAATATAAAAGAAATGCATCTAGATCAATTACCAGTCAATTTATAGGATCTAGACCAGCTACCAGTCAATTGTAAAAGTGCAAGACATGAAGTAATACAAAAACTAATATAAGTTTTGATATTTTTTTTTCTGGAAACTTGGCTCGTTTAGCTCGCGAGCTGGCTCGAGTTGATTCGTTATAGCTAACGAGCTAAAATCTTGGCTCGGCTCGGCTCGTTATATTTGCGTTATCATAACGAGCCGAGCCGAGCCGAGTCGAGCCAGCCACGAGCCGAGCGAGCTAACAAGCTTTGAGTTTTTCGTCCAGCCTTACATAAGATACAGCGCGCCAAAAACACCGGCTCATACACTTGCCAAAACAATAAAATTCAAACAACAGTTCCATGTGCCATTTTTCTAATCCAAGGGTCCATAAAGGCTAACAGCCACAGCTTTGCCATCCTCCATTCCTCATCCATGGCCATACCAAACTTGAACGCACCACCAGAGGAAGAAGAGGAGTTACCTGATCTCAACAACAAACCTGCTCAAGAAGAAGATGATGGTCCCTTAAAAGATGTAGTGGCTGCAGGTGAAGGTGGGGGACCAGAAGTTTTACCTTGCCTCTTTCACCATGCAGCAGATCAGGATGTCGAAGTCCATGGAGTCCATGGAGGGGACACCAGTACAGGACATCACTCTGGCCTTAATCTTCATGAAACTGATGAAAGTATTTCATCAAGGTAAGCACACAGTATGTATTCAAAAGATTATTGTACCGGTTCTATTTCTCTCTCTACTTTCTCCTAAGATATGTGTGTTGTTTTCATTGTCTCCAAAAAACAGTGCCATAGTTCTAAATCTCTATCTCTCCTCTCCTAAAATTATTGTGTGCTGCTTTCATTTTTGCCCTAAAATTCTGATTGCTGAATCAAGTAACAGATGTCATTTTTTTCCTGATTGAAGTACCATGCAACATTTTAAAGTGTTTATGTATCTCACCTAAAACTCTTGTGTAGCATATCAGAATTGTTGTCATCCCTGTGATTCCAATGACCATCATCAGTATGGAGAACAAGAAAGCCTGCTGAGAGGTGATTACTTCAATTAATACAAAGGTTTGTTACAAACAAAATTTCTACATGAAAAGATTTCTAAATTTAATCTGATTAGATATATTTTTATCCATGTGAATATAGGCCATTTGATTTAAATGATCATCAAAATGGAGGAGAACTTGCCCATCCATTTGATTTAAATGATCATTATCATGAACAACAACAACAAAACCTGCATCCAGGTGAGTAACTTTATCAGCAACCATGCATCAAAAGCTTTTACTGTATGCATTGACAATATAGAAGAAACATACATTTTTCTGTAGACGGTGGCATAGAGCCTTGCATGATGCATAAGATGCCTTGGAGGATCTCATAGAGGAGTTTGGCATATACTCCAATGTTGTTGATGTTGCTTTTGATGAAGAGGAGTTGTTGGACTCAGATGGTGGACAGGATCAGCAAACACATGGTGAGGAAGAGGATGATCAAGCACATGATGATGAAGAGGATGAGCAACCACATAACGATGAAGATGATGACCAACCACATCATGATAAGGCTCCATATAGGAAGAAGGAAATAACCGATAGACAAAGACGAGACATATTTGAAGATTTGCTTTGGACAAGTAACAATGGCAGATTGACAAGGAATAGTACAACTATTATTGCAGCGAAGTACAATGTCCATATACGTAGAGTCCAACGTGTATGGCAGAGAGCAAAAAAATGTTAGGCAAAGGGCATACCAATAAATGTCAATGGTTTGAAACCTAAGAATTGCGGCCTAAAAAATTTGAAGTGGACCTCTCTACAGTTCCAGATATTCCCTTAAACAAAGGGGTACTACAAGGTCACTAGCAAATGCTCTGGGTGTCAATAAAAGCACTCTACATAGGTCGTTCAAAGAAGGATTGCTATGCCGACACTCCAACTCACTGAAGCCCTATTTGAAGGAAGAGAATAAAAAGGATAGGCTGAGGTGGTGTATCACTATGCTAGACCCAAGTACACTGCCAAATAATCCCAAAGTTCAGAATCATGAAAAATATTATCCACACAGATGAGAAGTGGTTCAATGGAACAAGGAAGACTAAGACTATGTACATGCATCCAGATGAAGAAGACCCACACAGGACAGTACAAAACAAGAATGTGATTCACAAAGTCATGTTTTATTCTGGTGTTACACAACCTAGGTTTGATGCTGAAGGGAGATGTTATTTTGATGGCAAGTTAGGCGTATGGCCTTTTGTCCGTGAGCTAGGTAGCAATCTTCGTCATGTTATATTCTTGTTTTGCTACAAAAGAATTAGTATTTATATTATTTGTCATACTCATCTTCATAATTTTAGGAACCAGCATAAAGAAGAAGTGGCAATAGGCCAAGGGGCACACCTATCACAAAGACAATGAAGGTTGATAGACAAACAATGTACCTGCTATAAAAGCTTGTTGACCTCGAGAAGATGCCCACGAGACAATTTGGATACAACAGGACAATGCTCCTTCTCATGTACACGCCGATGATGCAGAGTTTGTTGCAGCAGTTGCCAATACCGGCCTTGATATACGCCTAATGAATCAACCTGCTAATTCACCTGACATGAATTGCCTAGACCTTGGTTTCTTTGCTTCTCTTCAGTCATTGACAGATAGAACGACATCTAGAAACATGGATGAGTTCATCGCAAATGTGGAAAATGAGTATCAAAACTGCAACCCTGTCATTCTAAATAGGATATTCCTCACGCTACAAGGATGCATGATTGAAGTTATGAAACATAATGGAGGGAATAGGCACAAGATCCGCCACATGAATAAGGAGAGCCTAGAGGCAGTAGGCATGCTTCCGGAATCTTTTAGTTGTGACAGGGAGATAGTTGAGAAGGCAATTGAGTTGTTGAACAACTAATGGAGTTGTTTGTCTAGCTTTTGAGTTCTGCAGCAACTAAGGGAGTTGTTTGTCTAGCTTTTGAGTTCTGCAACAACTAAGGGATATGTTTATGTAGCAGTTGTATATATGTTTATGTAACAGTTGTATATATAAACAACGATTTTGGCATGGAACAACAACTAGACATATATGTTTGTCTAGCTAGTGTTACATAGTAATTCTACTAGTACCATCTTCCCATTTATACTTAGTGAAACAACAGTACCATTTACAGTAGTCAGAATTACTACAATATCCGAAACTACAGCATGCACCTATCACCTACATATACAAGGAAGGGCATGGACAAAAGAAGAGAGCACTACATGCTCAACAGCAGCACCATTTGATGAAATACTAGTGAGAACTACTACATTATCCACAACTAAAGCATGCACCTATCCCATACATGTATAAGGAAGTGAGCAGTTGTTTAGTTATCATGGTCGTCCATGGTCTTAGTTCTCCTTACCTCTTGCCTCCCACACATTGATTGGTGTAGCCTCGTCGTCTGTCTCTATATGAGAGAAGCTGGCCTTATGCTCGTTATCGTCCTTGGCGTCATTCTTATCATCCTTTTCTTTGATGCTTACAATGTACCTTGAGCATATGTTTTTCTTGCTGGTTCTAATCTGGCTTGTGCATGCCTTATCACTCTCCAACAGAACCTTGCGCCATTCATGGAACATGGTACTGCACAGGACATAAACAAAGATGATCAAGTTACAGTGACAATCTAAAAATACCAATCGTAGCAATTAGATGCCTTCGCCTTACCACAAACGCCCACGAGTTTTTGTGACACCCTGCCTGCCAATGTGCTTCACCACAAGCATATCCTGTGGTTCTGTTTCAGGCACAAACTCATCGTCCTCGGCAACAAAGGATGAAACCTGTTGGGAGCCTTCCTCATCCGAATCAGGGATCAACTCGAATTGATCCGCACCCTCTTCCTGCGTATCCTGAGCAAAATCCTGGCCTTCTATGGCGATGCAGTTGAGCTTCTTATCCCACCAAGTTCCAAGTTCCGCGGCGACGTGCCGGACACGCATCGGTTTGGAGGACCGCAACAGACCTTTCGATTGGATCCCCAAGCGTATCGCATCGGCAATCTCTGGAGGAACCGGCCACTCCCGTGCAGGCCTCTACCACCACTGCCTGCCATCAACCGAGCGCCACCACCTGCCATCCACCGCCTTGAAAACCTGTTCCTAAATCGGAGTAGTATATGTTACAGGGTCTTACTATATACGAGTAGCAATGATATATATATTAATCGTTGCAATTTAATTTAATTTATTTATCTATTTGATTTTGGTGAATGGAACATGACGTTAACAAAGAAGTTCAGACTTAAATTTGGGACCAAACTAGCATCATCTAATAATAAATACATGCCAGTACTGCCAATGATTGTAGTATCTCTTTGTGAGATTGCGCTACACGCAGACATGCACATGCACTCGATGCAGCAGCTATGATGGTTGCAGAAAGCGAACGGAATGGAAAATTGAAGAAAAATAATTGATGTCGGTCCTTATTGGGTTTCAATTTAGAGCTCAAATTACCAGATTCTTGCCGGCCAATGAAACTGAATGGAAAAAAATATTAAAAAACGGACGGACAGTTCAGAATAGAAGAACCTCACCTTTGGCCCTTGGCCCCTGTCGTGCACCGTGGCCAGATACGAGTAGCACACACGCCGGCGGAAGTTGCGATCTGGAGAAGGCGACGGGCGTCGAGGACACTGGGGCCACCGCCGCACCTGCCGCTGCGACTTAGTGCGGCACCTGGGCAGCCCGCTTGACGCGTGCACCGTTGCGCTGAAGGATGCGAGGGGGAAAGCGACGGTCGATGAGATGGGCCCCGCCTCTACGCCTGGCCACCAGAGCTCCGCCCAGATCTGCGCCCACTCCGTCGCCTTTGTTCTTCAACTGCGAGGCCTCAATCTGGTGGGTGGCGTAAGACCGGTGTACGAGAAGGCAGAGCAGCAGGACGCCACGGCTCTCGGACGGAGAGAGACCAGGGACGGAGGGAGTGAAAGGATAAGGGGTGTTTGTTATCTGGTGGCTCCTAAAATTTATGCTACATCAAATATTTAGATATTAATTAGGAGTATTAAATATAGATTAATTATAAAATCAATTATATAGATGGAGATTAATTTACGAGATGGTTTTTTAAGTCTAATTAATCTGTCATTAGCATATGTTTACTGTAGCACAACGTTGTCAAATCATAGATTAATTAGGCTTAAAAGATTCGTCTCGCAAATTAGTCGCAAGTTGTGCAATTAATTTCGTAATTAGTCTATATTTAATACTACATGTATGTATCTAAATATTCGATGTAATAGAAATTTTAGGAGGTACGGTAGGAAACAAACATGCCACCGTCTGTTCTTTTTTTCTATTCGGTAGCGGACGACAGGAGGTGACGGATGGACGGGTGTTGCACTCTGGCTATAGGGTGGGACCCACGCTAGGACATAAAATGAAAAAGTCTACTTAATCCCTCACCTTTTATACTTTTTATACTTTTTTTTTTTTACCTCCAATTAAAATACTCATGAATTTTCATCTCCTAAACTTTCTAAAAAAAAAGTCTATTTTTTACCCTAGTAAATAGGCAGAGGCGGTTTTGATACTGTAGATTAATAACATCTAATTTTTGCTACAGTAACAGTGTATTTGAATTTTTTTATTTATTTATTTTATTTATTATATGAATTTTTTAAAAATCATAGTAAATCATAATAAAAAATCATAAAATGATACAAAAAAAATCTAATTTTGGACTCCACATGAGTAGATGTACATAGTGAATATATAATACGGTATTTTTTAGTACAAAATTTTTATTGGATTCAAGCCTTGGATTAATTGGAAAATCTAATTTAATGTTCTCGTAATTAATTAGAATAATTCATAGCTAGTTATGATTTCTATGGTCCAATTATGGTGAAATTTTTATGGTACGCTAATTATTGTATGCTTGAACTATAGTAAAAATTTCGTACTCATTGAACTATGTATAACTTAGTTATAGATAAATTCTAATGAATTACAGACAAAATTAGATTTTTCAATTAATCTAAAGCTAAAAAAAAATTTGTACTAAAGCATACCGTATTATATATTCACTGTGTAGATCTACTCATGTGGAGTCCAATAAAATTAGATATTTTATTTTATGATTTTTCTATGATTTACTATGATTTTTCAAAAATTCACCGAAAATAAATAAAAATTCAAAACCACTGTTAGTTTGCAGACGGTTCAAATTTGTGACTTTAAATTTGATAAAACTTTCAAATGGACCCTAGATTGTCTAAATTGTATGTTCAACATCCGTCATTTGAGAAAAAACGCCCAAGGGGTAAAATAGACGGTTTAAGAAAGTTCAGGGGGTAAAATAGATGGTTTTATAGTTTGGGGAGTGAAATAGATCAAATATGAAAAGTGGAAGGTTAAGTAAACTTTTTCTGGACATAAAATGGCATCCATTCTGGTACATTTTTTTTAATGCTTCGACCCGTATACTGAGGGAGGTTCTACTACTAGTAGCTTGGTACCTACGTATTAGCGGTGGGCTGTTGCTCCGGCCGGCCGCCCGGAGCATGCCAAGTGATGTCAATATACCAGTGGCATTCAACCACCAGTGGATCAAACTGGTTTAAGGTGGATTTTGGTTGCCTCTTCTAAAATTTAGTTGTTGTCTTATCGAATATTTAAACACGCATAGAGTATTAAATATAGACTAATTACGAAACTAATTGCATAGTTTGCGACTAATTTACGAGACGAATCTTTTAAGCCTAATTAGTCCATGATTTGACAATGTGGTACTACAGTAAACATATGCTAATGATGGATTAATTAGGCTTAAAAAATTCATCTCGTGAAGTACTCACGGATTATGTAATTTAAGTTTTTTTATTATTATCTCAAACACCCCATACAATATCCTCCTAACACACCTCCTAACTTTTAATCACCGGATCTGAACACCACCTAACTTCATGCTTGAACGAGCAGTGGCCTGGCCTTCTCAGGGCAGGAAAGGGATCTCCCGATCTCCGATCCACAAGACCAGAAAAGGGGGCGAGTACAGCTAGCGTGGTGTTCCGATTACAGGACGACAGAGTTGAAAGGGCGACACGTGTCAATTCACTAGCTAACCTGCACTTAAGGATGGATAACGAGCCGGCTCGGCTCGTTTCGGCTCGGCTCGTTCTAACTTGTTAAGATAACGAGCTAGCTCGGCTCATTGGCCCCGTTCATTGATCTCCAATTTTGGCTAAAATAAAGGTGAAAAAATATTCTCATTTGAATTGTTATGAGAGAAAAACAACATTAGGTTGAAAAAAACAACAAACAATCGAATATGGGGGTAAGCCGAACAGGGCCAACAATCCTAACGAGCCAGAAAGGCAGCTCGGCTCGGCTCGTTAAAAGCTTGAGCTGACTCGTTAAGCTCGCGAGCCAGATATAAAAAAATACACAAAATATAATATTTGCATTTATTTAAAGTTTGAGAATAATAATAATACAAAAGAAATACATCTAAGAACCTTAAATCAAATAAAAAATTAATATGTGCTAATATATATACAAGTATAATAAAATACTATAGTATTCATGCATCTAACAATCTTAAATGATACCTTTTTCTGGAAGCTTGGCTTGTTTAGCTCACGAGGGCTCGAGTTGACTCATTATAACTAACAAGCTAAAATCTTAGCTCAGCTAGACTTATTATCTTAACGAGCCGAGCGAGCTGACGAAGTTTGAGTTTTTCATCCAGCCTCACCTGCACTGCAGGCGTTCTCCTTTCGATCAGTGGCAATGCGCGGCGCTGGCGCAACACGGACCAGGTAACTGGTCCGGCCCACCCCCCACCCACGTGCGCGCGCGTGCTCCCCGCGCACCCTCGCCGCAGGACCGGCACGGCATGGGCTCGCTCTTGATGCGATGCGATGCGATGCGGTGTCGGTGTCGGTGTCGGTGTCGGTGTCGGTGTCGTGTGGCGTGTGGCGTCGGCCGGGCCGCGGGGCCGCCTCTCTCCGGTCTCCTCTCTGTTGCTGGAGCCGGCGCGGGCCCCCGCTTGTAATTGTAGTACTAGCCTCGTCGCTGTCCGCGGCGCCAAAGCCGAATGTGTGCTTGCTTTGCCCCGGGTCGGGGGATGCGAGGGCCTGGTGGACGTGCACCACCAGGGGCCAGGAGGGCAGTTCGTTGCGTCGCTGCCTCGCTCGCAGCGCTCGCTTCCGTACACGTACCACGCACAGGAAGCAACTGAACGAGGCCCGGAAAAGTCGGAGCAGCTAGCCTAGCTGCCTTACCTTGGCCCCGCTCTTCTTTCGATATGGTTCACACAACGCCGCGCTGAAAACGACGTGGATGTAGCTACCTTGCCACTGGGAGATTTGTGGATGCAAATACTTGCAGCTCAGACAACACAGGGGAATAAAGATCGAGCTGGCTGGCTACTGAGGATCTCACGACTTGACTGCACTGCATACAGTTAGAAGAAATTGTGGACCTTGGTGCAAGCTACTAGTAGCTAGCAAGTGTGGGCATCATCGTCTTGGAAAAGAACGGGTGGAACAGTGCTGTAACTCTCGCCCGCCCACCACCACAGGATCGCCGAGGCGCTGGCCGACGTCGACGTCGTGAATCCACGGCCACGGACGTCGCCGCCTCCAGTAATCTTGCTTGTGTGATGCCGTAAGGTGCTTGGCCGGCCTGAGTGCTGAATCAAGAAGCAATCCAATCCAACTTTGGTTTTTCTCCACTGCGCGACTCCATGGACCGCACTGCATGCAGACACTTGTCGCTATGCGTCCAGGAAGCGTACGTACAACTGTGCGTGTGCACGCTGTGCTAGCTCTTGCTGTGCATGTAACGACACGCATCTAAACTTTTGCGCATGCATGCTTGTGTTTCATTTTCATGCGCTGCTTTTGCATGATCCTAGCGTTCCCACATTAGGCATTACAAATAATGACTCATAAGCCATATAAGGGAGTACCCCTTCCATCTTCCATCCAATA